ATTCTAACATCCATATCCCTAAGATACTTAATTTCTTGAATTTCTAACTTTTGGAAGAGGGTCACGACGTGCAATGTGGTGGTCACATCGTGCTGACCAGTTGACCCGCATCTTCAGAGTCTCACGACGTGAGGCATGAGGTCTCATGACGTGAGCACGGCCTGATGACCCAAAACCCTAATGTTCGAGTATTTAATAGATTAAGAGGATAGGGTTGCTCATCCTTAGCCTTTCTCACCCTCTAGCCTCATGGAAACCCAGATTTCGATCCTCTTTGAGATCCTTGGTCATTCTTGGTGTTTTGCTTGCTTGAGGAGAAGAAAAGAAGAGAAAGAAGTATCATTGTGGTGGAGTTTCAAGGAAGAATCATTATCATCAGCTCTTTTTCCTGTTGGACCCTTGTAAGTGCCAAGACTCAAACATTATTTCATTTCATGGCTAGATCTAGGCTTTTGGTTCTATTTCCTTAGGTTCTAGCTAGTTGGAGTGAAGAAGATCCATAAAGTTAGCAACTTTATGGATTCAAATGGTCTTTTGAGTATCATATGATCTAGATCTGGAAGTTGGTGAAGTATTAGAAGCATACATGAGAATGTGAGGCCATATTTCAACTTTTGAACAATGGTGTGGGGACATGCATGGTGCATGCAGGTCCATAAAGCAAACATTTTTATGGACCTTTAGGGTCCCCATAAGCTTCTGTAAGTGTTGGGTTTGAAGGATGAACAGATTAAGAACGTTGTAACCTTGGATTTGGCTTCACATCGTTCTTACGACGTGAGTATGAAAAACCCGTCATTGCTGAGTTGCCTGATTCAAGAGTGAGTCACTGGAATCGGACCAGGTGACACTCACGACGTGACCAAGGTTTTGTCACGACGTGAGACTTGATGTTGGGATTATTAATCGATCTAGCGTGTTGACTCGTTGTCCGTGATTGATTCTGGTCATTTTTGGGCTTTAGGGCATGTTTGGTAAGGTCTAGACTTGAAAAGGGTAAAATGGTCTTTTACCCTAAGGGATAGAAGGTTGATTATTTAGGCCGTTGATAATGATTAGATGCCTTAATTGCTAATTAAGGTAACTTGTATGTATTTAGTGTGAGGAGCGTTCGTATCAGCAGCTCGAGTATTATCTATTGATCAGCGGATTGAGGTGAGTCTTCTCACAGTAATTACGGGTCGAAGGTACCAATGTTGGCCCATTGGATTATGTTATAGTATACTAGCTATCTTTGTGACTCTTGCATTTATTATATGTGTTTGTATGTATACCGGGTGGGGCCCGATGGTGGGCAAGGCTCATTGTATGTATGATATGTGATATTTTGGGGAACTCACTAAGCATTGAGCTTACAATTTTCAGTTTATGTTTCAAGTACTTCCAGTTTGAAGGGGAAGAGCTCAGTATGATCGCTTTGCACACACCATGATTTTTCCACTTTATTGACTCTGATGTATTTTGGATGATTATTGATACACTATGACTTTCTTATGGGTTTGATTATCACGTTTGGTTGATGTTTATTTAATATAAAAACAAAAATTTTGGTTCTGGGTTTTTGGGACGTTACAATAATACTTTTGACGAAGTCACCTTAGAGTACCAATTTTCATTGTTGGCGTTATCTGCTGGACCTCGAGAAAACATTCATTGTTACCCTATGTTGAAACCATACCTCCTCAAACAATATTTATAGATCTACCTTCCTCCAAATGATTTACTTTCGTTTTTAGAAATTTCCTATATAGATTTGTCATATTCCCTATTAAATTGAAAGTCCATAAGGATTCGCCTCTTTTGTTCAAGCTTCTCTGTATACAATTTTCTTATTTAGTGGATAAGAACATCAAAAGGTCTTTTAATCACTAAAAATCTCTTTATATATAATTTGCTTTAAATGTTTTCTTTATCTTCTTTTAAAATCAGAGTTATAAGGAACACAAACAAGAAAATGAAAAGCACAACATAAAAGATCTTATATGGAAAAAAAAGAGCTAAAAAACAAAGATATGTACAGTTTTTATGGTTTGTACATAAATAGATAGTGCAAAAACATGTACATATAAAAAACAATCAGCTTTTATCCATTAATATTAATATACTTGTTCATTTTGTCCATCCTCTCTAATAAATGAATATTTTTTTTGTCACTTGTCAATCTCTCATGAGTTTTGACACTTGTCATTTTGTGGTATTTTTGAAATAAATATTATCCACTTGTCAATTTTTGGTTTGTTTCAATTTTTAAAATTAAAGTCATATATTTATATATGTAAAGTATTAAATATAATATATATGAAATTAAATTGCAATAAATACGTTTCTTCCTTTCTTATTTTAAAGTTTTACATTAAAAAATATTTACTGCTTACATTTTAATGTTTAATTTTTTTTAATTAACTCGTATAATATACGGGTCTCACACCTAGTATATAAATAAACAACTAGGCATTGTTAGTACGTAAGATTGCAAAATAGAAAACAAATAACCCGACACTTACTCGTCCAACCATAATGACTAAGCAAGCCTATATCATAATGGCTAATACTATGGAGATTCAATAGTGTGTCTTCAGGCCACAACAAAATATTAATACCGACAACACATCATTATGCTTCATACAACGATCTGACATCCTGGCAGTCTTGCTGCTATGTCGGTTCGTCTTAGGTCGACACTGTTAGACCAGCCCCTCGGCTTTATTCCCAGCCCAACATGACGGCGGGAAATTCGTCTTGCAACAAACCAAAATCTACATAGTGTACAAACCACTACCAAAACACATGTTGAGCCAATCATAACTCGGAGCTAGAAACAAAGGGCGCATCCACCAATCAGCGTTACAATCTTGCATCAGTACTAACACTCTTGTCTCCTTAAGAAGAGACATTTTATCCAGTCCTTACTATATAAGGTTAACGATCACATAGAAAAGGTAATGTCATCTAACACCCATTACTCTTACTCTATCATTTGCAACCATAAAACTGACTTGATCGTCGGAACGTCCTCCCGGAGTACGGTTGACGATATCTCTCCTGTTTGAGCGTGTTTTCAGGGCTTGATCTCAAAAGAATACATTTGCCTAAGCGCCTCAAGGTGATATTAATAATTTTGAATAAATTATAGATAAATAATATACGAAAAAAATACCAATGACTAAATACTAATAAAATTTAAATTTCATTACATTTTCAAAGTCATTATCTAAACACTAAACACCTTGCTGGCTTGCTGCACACAAGTTTCTAGCTTCTTATATATATATATATATATATATATATATTATATATATATATATATATATATATATATATATATATATATATATATATCGGCCTAGGTTATTCTATTTAAAGTAATTATTGTGTTATTGTATGCATAACTGTGGGCCAATCAATTTTACTTATTTTAAAAACGTGATTAATATATATTATTGAATTAAATGTAATTGAAAAATATCATCTAATTTAATTATAAGGGTATTTTAGTCAATTAATATAGATTTAATAAAGGAAAATTGCATATTTTAAGGGATCATAGATTCTATTAATTTTAAAAATCCGATTTTACGAATTATAACTATTTTAATTCGGACATTCTGACAGAATATGTTTATTTATTTAATTATTTACACAAAAATAAAAATATTCTTGAACAATAAATAATAAAAATATTCTTGAAACTATTTCTTGATCATGACTTTAAGAACTTCTTGTAGAATAACAAATTCTTGAACAATCAATTGAAGAATAAAAACAAAAAATACATTATTTCTTATAGAATACGGGTAACAATTGTTAAGAATTACATTTATTCGTAAAGAATAAAACTAAAAAACTTTCAAAACGGGAAAGAAAACATCAAAATCTAAAATTGTCTAGTACATTCTAAAAGAATAACGTGGTCCGTTTCAATTTCGTGGTCCGTTCTTCAAGCATCAACTTCTGTGATTCCAACAGAATTGGAATTTGTGATTCCATTCCAACAGAATTGGAATACGTGATTCCATTCCAATAGAATTGGAATGTCACCAATATCATCCATTGAATAATCTACATAAACATACTTGATACCTTTTCAGAATTCAACCTTGTCAAGATCCTGCACTGTCCACATAAATGAAGTGTTAAATCAAAAAAAAAAAAACATAAATTGAAATATGAATCGGACCATTTGAATCAGTCCCTTTGCTGCATCAATCAGACCATTTGAAAGAAACACAGATGATCTCCATATCACTCAAAACCCCCCAATTCCACTTGAATTGGAATTATAAAGCTGAGTTATCGATTCCTGTAACAAACAAAAACGGAAGGAAAAAACCCTAAGTGAAAATTAACTCGAACAGAGCTTCATGTTACTTCATTATATCAAAAATCGAATCTAACCAAACATCGATTCACTCGAATACGAAGCTCGAAAGAAAAATAATTCAATCAAACAAGTAAAGCAATAAACCTCGTAACCAACAGAGAAACTTGAACTGGACAAACAGCCAACAAGAATTAAAATCTTAAACTGGAAAAAAAATGAAAAATATTGATCGGATTAAAAAAATCAAATCACTTCTGTGTTCTTCTTCTTTGTTTCTAGCAAGACCAGGGCAATTTCCCATTCGTGTTCTTCTCCCATCCCTGTGAAAACAACAAACTCAATCATTTCTACAAACACCCATCGAATTTTTGTCAAACAGTCAAACCCAAACACCCATATAAACCTGTTGATTCAACTTCATGGATTTACAATCAAAATAAGAAGAAGAAAAACCTGTTATTAACCTGTTGATTCAACTTCACCGGAAACACAACATCGGCTTCCACCAATCGACAACACCCCCAAACGATTCCTGCACCCGATTTCTTGAGTCTCCGTGAAATTTATCAACAGCTAATTAGCTTCTCTTAGCTTGAGTTTACAGAACTATATGTGATGAGGTTCCAAGACGAAGAGAGTAAGACGCTGCATAGCTTAAAGGCTCAGATGCAAATCTATGTCACCAGAGTTGGCCCCCTATCCCCATTGGAGGACCTAGTGAACGGAGGCCGACGTAACTATGCTCAACACCTGTCAAACTTGACATCCCTACACCACCGATTGCCGACGATTGAGCAGCCCGTGACTCGTATGCATGGGGAACGCGGAATTCAGGAGCGGCGTATGTGATGTATGCCCATGGAGGAGAACTAGTTGTCGTGGATGGAGGCATGACTAGGCCATCGCGAGGGAGGAGGCGGGGTGGAGGAGCCACGGCCGAGATTATAGTTTTCCGGACGACGTTCCGATTGGGTTGCAATTGAATTCGTTTCAAGTGCTGACATTCTCTCTTGTGGGCGCTCGTTGATCTGCCTTTGTCCATCTTTGCCCGATCAAAATGAACACGGGTTTAAAAACCCTAATCATTTAAGTGGATCCATGATTATAGGGATTATTTTTGGAAGTTACTAAACAAATTACTAAATTACCCTTATTTATTTATTTAATTATTTAATTTTCTATTTAATTTTGATTGGCCCACAATTATGCATACAATAACACAATAATTAGTTTAAACAAATGAACCTAGCTCTCTCTCTCTCTCTCTCTCTCTCTCTATATATATATATATATATATATATATATATATATATATATATATATATATATATATATAGGGAAAGTTCAATAGAGAACCATAATTATTGGTTCTTCAAGGAACCAATTTTTTTTTTTCAATTTCTAGAGTTTATTTTTTATCGAAAAAAAAATCTAAAAATATCTAAATTCATATATTAACATTGTGAATGTGAAAAATATTTTTCGGATTCACCGTGTGAATCCGGATTCACATTGTGAATTTTCAAAGATTCACATTGTGAATTTGACGTAAAAAAAAATTGAATTTCATGCCATTGGAAAAAGGATAAAAAGTTATGAATTTCTGTATTTTTAGTTTTTTTTGATAAAAAATAAGTTTTAAAGGTTGAAAAAAAGATTGGTTCATTGGTTCCTTGGTTAATTATGGTTCTCTATTGAACCTCACCCTATATATATAGGGTGAGGTTCAATAGAGAACCATAATTAACCAAGGAACCAATGAATATATAGGGTGAGGTTCAATAGAGAACCATAATTAACCAAGGAACCAATGAACCAATCTTTTTTTCAACTTTTAGAACTTATTTTTTATGAAAAAAAAAATACAGAAATTCATAACTTTTTATCCTTTTTCCAATGATATAAAATTCGATTTTTTTTACGTCAAATTCACAATGTGAATCTTTGAAAATTCACAACGTGAATCCGGATTCACACGGTGAATCCGAATAATATTTTTCACATTCACAATGTTAATATATGAATTTAGATATTTTTAGATTTTTTTTCGATAAAAAATAAGCTCTAGAAATTGAAAAAAAAATTTGGTTCCTTGAAGAACCAATAATTATGATTCTCTATTGAACTTTTATATATATATATATATATATATATATATATATATATATATATATATATATATATATTGATATTCTTATTATTTGTTTTAAACCATTATTAGAAAACCAATTTAGGTAATTTACCGCTTGGAGTACAACCCGCGTTGAATCACATACGCGGTTGCTACCCAAATAGTCAAATACCAGTTCTGCCCCTGTTGCATTCTTTATGTTTCACATCCACCAGCCAATCGAAGTCGTCACCCATTGGCCCATAGTATTATTTTATTCGTGATTATATTATTAGATTTCTTATTTTAATATTACAATATATTTATTTTATTTATAAATGATACATTTCTCCGTATATATAAATTACAAGATTCCGTTTTGGACTTGGTATACCAAAAACTGATTCCCACTAAATCCATTGTCAAAAAGATAATTTTAATAATAAAAAACACCAATAATTTTCTAAAGCAAAAATGAATACATAGTATTTGATTAATTTATAAAACTAATGCTTTTTTTAGACCAATGATAACTCATCCTCAAGAAAAGCATGTAGCTAGTCAAAACATAAAAGTTGAATCTCTAAAAACAATATACGTGAACAGAATAAAAAAGACTCCTATTATTTATATAAATTTTGTTTCATATTTTTCATCTTCCTTAATAAATGAAAATAATTTTGTCACGTCATTTTCTCATGTGTTAGGTCCAGGGCCGGCCCAAGACATGTTCAAAAGGTTCCCATGAACAGGGCCCATCAAAATCCAGGGCCCAAAATTTAGCTGATATTATCTTAACCTGTCTTCAATTTTAGGCCCAAATGCGCAAATAGGTTAAACAAGAACAATATACAAATTACATATAGACACAATCGATTAAGCGGGAAGCGGAATCAGATTTTTCCAGGGGAAAGAGATGGACACTTTGGTTTCTTCATCCTCGACATTGGGAATCAGAAATCCATGCTGCAGTGCACCAATTATTGTTATCGCAAGTCATTAAGCCAAAAACGGTATTCTTTGATCTTACGATTTTTTCTTATTCGCTGATTGCTTAAAGCCTTGAATCCAGAAAACTCATTCAGAAGAAATCCCTTGATCCTCACTACATATTCAATCGAGTTTTGGTTTTTTCTTCTTACTTCTTTCTTCATAAATCACAAGAAAATACTCATAACCCATTCAATTGAAATTCATCAGCAACAATTTTCTTTTGCTAAATTGCTTCCTATTTTAGTGCATCACAAGTAAATTGAAAGGGGGACAGAGGTTTGAAAGTCATAATCCAAGCAAAGGGAAGAAAACCAAAAGGTAAATAAACTTTTATTATTATTATTTTTTATTCCATGTTTCTATTTCTGAATTCTGCTTACTGTTTAGACTTTTAGAAGTAAATCATTTTTTTCATTCTTTTCATTCTTATTTTCTTGAATCCAGATAGTAGCATTGAAACAAGTCAAACAACAATATATTGATTTGACTGTCAATCGGGCTTTCTAATATCTTGGTTGTCTTGATTCTTGAAGTGTCCAAAATCAGAAGCGAGAAGGTATTATACATTTACATTTCTGATATTGTTAATATTAAATCAGTTTTTTTTCCATTGTTTAATCTTTATGATTTTGATTTTATCAAATTCAGACACATTTAAACAAATGTTTTCATTTTTAGATTGTATTAAAGGGTCCAAAATCAGTTTTAGATTGTATTGAAGGGTCCAAAATTAGGTAGTGATGTTTTGATTTCTATTTTTTTATCATAAGTTTTTTTCCATATCTTATGCATTTCTGTTTTTTATCATAGTTTTTTTTTCCAGATAATCTAATATATCTTGCTGATTTAATTTCTGATTTTTTTACAGATTATTTCAATACATATTAAATGGATGACTTGTTGTCGATTTTCAAGTAGAAAGATGGTTGTTTTCAAGTAGAAGCAAAATTTATTTCAACAAATAGAAACAACTTTTTTTGTATTATTTTGAATGAAATCTTACTTTTGTGTATTTTGCAATAGAAAAATGATAAGTTATTACTGTTTTGCTTAATTTTTTAGACCTTCAAATTTTAAGGCCTATTTTTTGTTAAATTGCACAGGGCCTTCGAAATCTCTGGGCCGGCCTTGGTTAGGTCACATATCATTTTGTCATAATTTTGATATATTTATTATCCACTTGTCTTTTAATTTATTTTTTAATATATCATTAATTTAATTTCCATAAATTAAATATACCGTAATCACTATCACTTTCAAATTTCAAATTTCAAACTTCAAACTTTAATTTCAATTTTAAATAAATTTACAATTTAAAACTTCGTATTTAACATTTTGTTATAATTAACACGTTTAATACACAAGTTTGACAACTAAACAGATAATTTTATTTTATTGTTTTGCATGTTTTTTTGTTTTTTTTCTCATAAAATTTTTATTTATTTCAAATTTCAAATTTAAATAAACTTTCCATTTAACCATTCGTATTTAACATTTTGTTTTAATCAACCCGTATAATATATGAGTCTCACAACTAGTATACAAATTAAATTAATTTACACCAAGTTTATAAACATTATTCTAAGAAATATTATTAAACTAGCCACCCTTTAGTGTAAAATTTAAAGAAATAACTTATTTTTTGGAAAGTAACCAACATACCATTGGACCCAATTTCGGCCGGATACCCAACCTAGTTTGTAGTACCCTGTATATATACCCTAAACCAATAATGTGTACTCGAAGTGGCTTTTCAAACTCTTGATTTTGAAAAAAAAATGGTTGTTGATGATGAAAAGATGGTGGTGTTGTAGGTAAACTTTCTTTAAAGTAATTTTTTTTAAATATTACCAATTTAAACTAATACAAAATACACGAAGTTCATGTCTGGAATGTTGTTAAATGTTTTATGAAACTATGTATATTATTGACATTTAAGCCTTTTTTCAGTTATGAAATTAAACATATGCCTAAATGTATGACCACTGTAACATCCAGATTTCCAGATATATTATTTTTATTATTTATTTTGAGAATTTTTGGAAGGACTCGACGAGTTGGTGCCTCAACTCGTCGAGTAGGGGCCGCGACTTGGTGACGTGGATAATGAATGGACTCGACGAGTCGGGGAGATGACTCGCCGAGTCAGCGCTGTTGACAGAAACCCTAATTCTCTCGGGCCTGGGCCTATTTAAAGGCGCTTATAGCCTCCATATCACCTCCATCAGTGTCCATTCGCCCCCTGAAAGAAACCCTATGTCACACCCCCGAACCAGACGGTGGAAACGTCCTAGGGCTCGCGTGACTTAAATTGAAATATCATCACAATGAATATACATGAAACATAACACATTCATCACCAAACATTACATAGTACAACCGGCATTGTTTACATTAAGTACAAGGTTTACATTACATGATTCCAAAATATAAAGTGTTTGGTGATTAGCAACTACAAAAGAAACTTTCAACACACTGGATGCTTCCTTCTCTAACGATTACCTGAGAATACAAGTTATTTTGAAAACGGTCAACATATATAATGTTGGTGAGTTCGTAAGTGTGTTTGATGTAAAATAGTTTATGTCGTTCGTAAAACCCAGAAAATCCGATATTTTCTGTATTAAGACTTTTCTTGAAAATGTTGTGAAGATCCTGTAAGTATATGCGTGAATGATTTCAAAACATGAATAAATGAGAAGTTTTGCATTATAGTTTTTGAAAGTACAAATGAGCAAGATTGGTTTCCCCGGAAAACCCGATGTTTTCCGATAAAAAGTTATGATGGTTTTACATTATTGTATCGTCACATCGAATGAATATGATTTCCCTTGATTACTTAAATGATATCGGATTTCTATGTGAGTCGTTATAACCATGCATGATAATGACTAGTTCGTCTGTCGTGGCATTCTAATCAACACCGAAATTGATCTTAA